AGCAAGAAAGTGAAGAACTCATTAAAGTTGACTTATTGAAACTATCGAAATATCATAATAGTAGAAGAGTTTTACTTAGAAGAAATATCTGTTATAACCATTATCGCATTTTCTAAAGTTCCATACCTCAATTAAACCCAGTGTTATACACATAAGCCTGATACTAGTTAAAAAAACCTGAAATTATTACAAACAAGTAGATAGAAGAGTAAAAGTAGATACTTATTGTTCACCTTTATATAGAGAAATTATCCGAATTAGTTAAAGATCTATTGTTACTGAAAATTATTTAACAATAGAAGTACTAGCCCGTGACCTCATTATTATAATCGGATCATCCAAATTCTCGTGATATATGGAACCCGTGACGTATTAATTAGTTAAAATTCTGATCTCCATCGATAATTCTACCTGTGACGTAGAAAGTGATCATCATCGAATATTAAACAACATAATCGTGATTACATAACACATGACTAAACTTAGCGATACTTCCGAAATAGAAGAGTTGAAAAATTAAGATTATTAGTATTGAACATTGGAAAGACAATAAAGAGATACATATTCTAAGCAACCAGAAGACTTATATACTTTCCAAAGACATCACCCTAAGGTCTAAGCTCCAAGAACTCAGACCAAGTTTCTTAACACCTCTTTTCGAAGCCTACCACCTTGGAGTTTTGATCTTATCGATACTTTGGAATAGTGTTGATTTGTTAAATTAGTTAGTTTAGTGTGTGTTTAGATTATATTATTATAGTTTAAAACTTATATTATCCTATTTCAGATCAATTTAACCTACCTCAATGTACATACAGTACACGGCACATCACTAGGTACAAATTTGAACCAGGGCTCAAATTTGTACCAAGATATGAAATATCTATTTTTAGTAGGGTGATGTTTCCTACTTAAGCTATCCTAACTTCGTAAACTTCATAATGAAATTGAGAATAGAAACAAGATAATAATAAAAAATAAAAAAGATCAAAAATAAAAAAAAAGTATGTATTATGGACACCCGAACCCTTTACAATGACCAATCTATTCTAATTTACAACATATCAAGCTACTCTAAGTACAAATATTTGGGCATTTTAACTACTAGTACTTAATAAATTTTTAGTTAGATTAGGCCATACAAATTTAATTACTTGGTTTTTATAACATGGAATTTTAAAATAGACCCGGCCGGCCGGCTTTTTTTTTTTAAATTTCATATATAAAATTTTATAAAATTTATATAAATTATTTTTTTAAAACCCACCCGGTTATTAAAACATATAAAAATTTTTTTTTAGAAGTTTTCAAATTTTGACCTGGCCGGGTTATGAAAACCAATTAATTAATTTTGCATGGCCTTATATGTAAATTTTATAGAATTTAAAAGCTTTAATATGCTAGATAGCCTAATCACACTTTTATTTTCTTTCAACTTTTTTATCTTTCCTACACCTGTGTATTACATGTTATACTGTAATTCTTATGTGAAATCTAAATTGCCCTTTTGTCAACTGTATGATAGAAGCTAGATATAAAAATAGAATCTGGTATAAAAAGGTAATAATATATGATATAACAATGTAAATACAATTATAGCTGGTAATAAAATAATAGAAACATGGCTAAAACAAAATAATGAAATAATTAATAGTGTAAAATAATATGTAAAAAAAATATATGTCGAATTAAGCAACAATATAATTTAATTCCACAAGAAAACGAAGTTTTAACTCTTTTGAAATTAACTTATTATATATAATCTTACTATAAAATATAAATAAGGTCTATTTCTGAATTTTTAATTTTAAGATGCACTCATATACATTTCTAGTTTTAGTGCGACTGTGTTGCGCAGCCAGGGTTTAAAATTCAGATTGAAATCTACTTGCACAATTGCAGCTGTGGCACAAGTTATAATTTCACAAACCAACTACTAATTGCACACATGTGCATATAAATTTTTTTTTTATATGCACATATTTATTATCTTAGAGTGATGCCACCATTATAAAATTACTATACCAAATATATCAATTTCTGGTTTAATTTTCGGATTATCTTGGATATGTTCTCAAACTTAAAGCTCAACCTTGCTTGAATTTTATGTACAGTGCATTTATTTTCTTTTCAGAACTTTCAGATTATTTTTATTTATTTTAGGTTTTATATTTAGACTAAAATTTTGTGCAATATAATTTTATAATTTTTCTTGCGCTTGATTTTTTGTGCAAGCTCCTCATTCAAATTTAATTGTGCATCTGTGCATTTATATTTAGAACTTCTCTTGCACAAAAAAAAAAATCACTTGCACATATGCATCCCGTGCAAGGTAATTTTAAACCCTGCATGCAGCTACTCTAATTTAATAAAACTGGATTATTTGAATTTAATAAACCCGGATTATTGGTAAAATCGGATTTAATAAAACCTTAAAATTAATAAAACCAATTTAGATTTTAGCCATATGTGGGCTTATTTTAAATATACAAAAGAGAAGAAAATCAGTAGTGGATGATAAATTAGTGAACTGGAATATGCAATGTACATACATATATGTCATAGTGTTCATATTTTCATATGTGTATATTCTGCAGTATGTAAGTGAACATTTCACAAAGTTTTTTTTAAAGAAAAGTTATAATGAACCTAGTTTTAACCAGCTATAATAAAACAATTTGAAAATTTACTTTGTAAAGGTGTTATATTCAATTTAATTTTTTTTTTAACCCTAAGTATCAAGAAGACATATGGCGTGAGTAAATTTTGAATTACATGAACTTTCTTTATATTTTGAGAAAGATTTCTTAAAAGTAGTGCTCGTACCCTGATAACTCTTTACCCGTAAGGTTGTAACCTTTAACTAAATCCAATAACCGGTTTTATATCCTATTCAGATAAAAGAATAACGGTTATATCTGGATAAGATATTTATACGAATTGGTTGATTTATATAAATTAATGCATCAATCAAGAATTCACGAATTTAATAAATTAGAATCTTTGCAAATTAATTTAGATGAAATGAATACTTAATTGAGTAAAATAAATGTTCGATTATTAGTGGGATTATATTTTTGTGTGAACTCTAGATTTTTAATATATAATAAATCATGAATTGATTTTGACCAACTCACCAACAAACATTATAAGTTACCGGCAATTAATTCACAGACAAGGTTTATTTTACAGACGATTAATTCACAGGCAAGTTCATTTGATAGACAGTATATTTCAACAACAGCTCATTTCATAAGGTTTTTAATAAATTACACTAACCTTAAGAATATGCCTTTTATTCCAACGATAATGACCAGAATTACTTTGTATATAAAATGAGTTGTCACAAAAATATACTATCCCGAATAAACTTGTCTTTGTAAATTAATTGTAAGTGATTATCAGTGAAATAATACAGACCCATAATGAATAGTGAACGACAATATTAGTCAATAAAAAAAATATCTATAAGATATTTGGGGCTGCTTCCGTGGCCTAAACCATCTTACAGATACTTGACTTACCCATTGATTTATATTACCATATCAACATTTTTTTCATTTTTTTACCTACTGTAAGATAATTTATATTAACCAGTTTCATCTATTAACAATTAAAACCACAAATACGAAATGATGAAATTAATGAAAAGTAATGAACTGATGAAGGTGACAAATAGAAAGTAGGTTTGAAATGACAAAATATGCAAAATTATCAAAATAATGCATTCAAAAATATGTCCAGGTTTGCATGATAATAAAGCCGCAACAATCAAGGCTATAAAATTTATTTTATAAGTTACGTAAATTGGTTATTTGTTTAAGATAAAATGATTCTTGTAGAACAGGATTCAAAAAATAAATATCAACTATTCTTTCCGCCTCATATATGTTACAAATCACATGTTTGGCTATGCAAAAATTTGGTATTTTCTGAAGAGAAAAATATAAAATCCCAAATTATATTCTGTAAATACCATGCACATTTATATAACGTTTATAAAATACACATTTTTCTCATCTATAGCATTGATATGTATATAGTTATAAATTACTTTATTTATAAATTTTTAGCTTAATTATACAGATTCTTTACATGATCATTGTAGTTATAAAGTTTATAATAACTGATCAATAATGATAAATAATATGCAAATTAAAATTTTTTATAATTGATTTTACCCTATTAACTTATATTATATCCTAAGTTAACTGGATACCTCGATAATTTATCTTTTTATCAATTTTATGATTCAGGTATTCGGATAACCTAACGGTTAACCAGTTATTGTACCCTAGGGTACGACCACTACCTAAAAGTTAACACTTATCATACTGAATTAAAGCGTTTATCCCTTGGAATCGGCAACAACACTTACCATACTGAATTGATAAGGTGTTTATTCCATGGAATTGGCATTAAATACTTACCATACTAAACTGATAATATATGCAGTAATATACATATATGTATATATAATGCATAAAAATATATTTCATTACATATTTTAGTTACTTTAAATGAAATAAAAAAAATGCATGTATACTACCGTATGTATATATGTATATTTATTTTGTCATTCTTTAGCCAGTGTGAATCTCAATAGAGTATTATAGTAAATAAAAAAAAAAACATTAGTAAAACGTAAATAAGAGGTGATGCCAATGAAACAAAGAAAGTTATACTAACCAGGCTATATTGTAGATAAAAAAAGAACATAAGGCATTTGTACTTTATCAAAAACCTGTTGATATGGTATCATTAATATAATAGTTGCATCTGTAACTATTGTCTTAATGGAATTAGATTTTAAAAAAGATCAGAGATAGAAAATTTTGTGGAATAAGCAAATTGGACTTTATCATTTTCAAATAAAAGTAATTGAAGTTGGTAATTTGCCCCAATGTAATTTGAGTTGACTTTAATGGCGAATATCTATTGGGGTATTTAATTCCGTTAATAACTTATTTTATATTAATAGCCTTTAAATTTATAAAAAGATGGCTTCAAGAAAAGTTAACCTTGGATTTCTAAAAAAAAATCCTTGTATATAAATTTTTACTAAACTTTTTTGACCTCTTATAAGAAAGTTTGGACAATTCGCTTTCACAGTATTGTATCTTCATAGCAATTTGGTATGGTACTATAACTAAAAAATGTTAAAGGTCTAATTAAAAGTTTATGAGTAATAATTTCAAAGGTTTATTATTTTTTCTTTATTTTTTAGAAATAATAATAATAATAATAATGGAAAATGAGCAAGATTTAGCTTCTGAAAATAATTTTGAAACTGAAACTACACCGTCAATATCAACAACACTGTTGGCTTCAAGTACTAATAGTTTAATTCAAAAAAAGCGAAAAGCTCTTTATGACACCACTGCCAAGACAAGTGTTAAAACTCGTAGCAATCGTAGTCATGCACCTATTTTTTTCGCCTGGATTCAAATGATCCTTTTGTTGCTTATTGTAAAGTATGCGAAATTAATCTAGCTGGCACACGTCAAAAACCTTGTCCATATAGTAAAAGAAGTGGTAATACATCAAATTTTATTAACCATTTACGTGATAAACATGGAGTTACAAAAGAAAATTACCTAGAGTTTTTAGATGAATACAATGAAGTATATACAAATTGAATAAATTTAAATGCTTTTATGTTTTATATTAAAAAATTAGTTTAATTTATATTTTATAGCCCCGGTGTGACCAAGTAATAACTGAATATTCAAAGGCCGTAGCTTCATGCACGCCAAAACAGCAAGAACTTATTACACAAGCACTTGTTTCATTTATTATCAAATTTGTTCAACCATTATATATTCTACAGAACACCTTCTTTCATGAACTTCTTCTTACTTGTGAGCCTGGTTTTAGAATCCCATGTGATAAAACAGTGAAGGCCTTAATTTAGATTCATTTATGTAGAGCAAAGAGCAGCTTTGTTCACTTTTAAATAATAATATTGCTGTTCATTTGACTACTGATTTATGGACCGCAAATCAGATCACGGGTATCTAGGCATAACAGCAACGTGGTTAGCATCTAACTTCGAGTTACATGAAGCACTTTTATCTTGTAACCACCTTCCATACCCACATTCAGGCGAGATTATTTGTGCTGAGTTATTTCAAGTTATTAATAATTGGAACTTATCAAATATAATATTTACCATTACAACTGATAATGAAGCAAACATAATTAAAAGTATTCAACTATTAAGTGAACAACATCTACCTGAGGTTAAGCGGCAGCCTTGTGTAGCACACACTTTACAGCTTTCAGTTTTACAAGGTCTAAAGCAATGCAAGCAGGTGCATTGCCGTGTGAAATGTTTGCAAGTATTTTTTCGGTTGCCAAAACAAGCTCAAAGGCTTCATGAAGCCCAAAAAAATTCCGAGCAATTACTAGGTAATTATGATGATTATAATCCACTTAATGTTATAACTGATGTTAAAACCAGGTGGAACTCGGTATATTATGCCTGGAAAAGAATACTAGAACTACATAATTCAATGCATCATGTGTCTACCACATTGTTAACAAAATCTGATCGAATATCACAACAAGAGGGTGAAAAATTGAATCAGCTATGCTTATCTCATGATAAAAAGCAGTAAGAAGCAATTTATATCAAAGGGTTTCAAAAATCTAGTTTTGTAATTTTTTTTAACCAAATTAAAGTCGTCTTTATATTACTAATATCATTAATTTTTTAAATTTTAGCTATGTGATTGCAACTAGTGTTGGAAATCTGTTTTGAGATTTATATTTTCAAAAATTTATTTATGTTCTTAATAGTAAAATTCTTATTTCGAAAATATCAAATATTTATTTAAATTTTTATCCTAACCTTTTTATAAAAACCTTTACAAAATATTAATTATTTTTAAATTTAAACCGTAAGATCTTTTTCAAGGCAAAGACCCCGTATGTACTTATGAGAACATAATTTTAACACTAATTGCAACATCTATTGCAACCATAGCTTAGGCTGTACAAAGTTAATTTTTTTGCTTTGTATTATTTAACCAATCAAATTTTTCTAATTTTAAAAAAAATTCAAATTACAATTGTGCCAATTATTCAATTTTGCCATTTACTCAATGGAAACTTATATAATAGAACTGACAGATAAATAACACTAATTTTCTGATTTCTTGTTATGCAAATAAAAAGTTAACTTTGCTTAGTTTCAGATGTAAGTATTATTTTATTTCTATTGATTTACAGTAAAATAAAAAAATTTAATTAACAAGCTAATTTTCAGATTCAATGTAATGCAAAAATAAAATTAACTTTGTGCGGCCTTATCTGGTGACTTTAATTTGGTTTTTATTAAAAACTCAACTTTTTCTAATTTTGAAACCCTTTACTATTATTTTAAAAAATTTGCTCTAACCAGGATAAAGCCATTCGACCTATTATCAACCCTATTAATTTAGTCACGTGTAGTGATGTGCCGCATACAGTACTATACGTATAGTACTGTACGTACGTACATACTGTATATACTGTACGCTAAAATTTTTGCCAATCACTTGTTCCAGCCAATTATATGCCAGGAAAGAACTATATATACAGTATGTACAGTATGTACTGTACATACTGTACGCTAAAATTTTTCAGGTATCATATAAATGGCAAATCACTAGTTACGTGACTATATTACATCTTATTAGGTGACTTTATCCTGGCTAAAAATTAAATTTCTAATAACCATTATTAAACTTTTTTTAAATAAGATTTCTTCAAGACGCAATAAAGCTTTTATCACTATTTGAAAAAATAACACGTCGAATATGCGAAGCTACGTATTGTACTTTAAGCCTTGTTCATCCTTATATAGAATTATTAAAAAAAGCATTTGCTCCAAAGTGTGAAAAAGGAGAAAGCTATGATACATATCTTAACTTAATATATGGGCAACAATGTGAAGATGGTGATGAAGAAGAATCTGATAGTTCAGCTAGTGATAATGATGAAATTCCATCTGGTGGTTCCTGACGGCATTGGCAATATGCCCATCGTCAATTTTAGCAAAGAATGCAAATAACAAAAGGAAGAGGAAGAGGAAAAGGTAGAGGGAGAACAATTAACCGGCACAAAAAAACTAAAAACGAAATAAATGTAGATGACTTTA